TAAGTAGTCAATAATAACAACAATAAACAAACACATAGAGACAGAGATTGGATTGGTGGTTACCAGAGGGGAAGGGGGGAGGGAGGAGGGCAAAAGGGATAATTTGGCACATGTGTGTGGTGATGGGTTGTAATCAGTATTTGGGTGGTGAACATGATGTAATCTCTGCAGAAATAGAAGTACAATGATGTACACCTGAAATTTATACATTGTTATAAACCAATGTTACTGCAATAAACAAAAAATTAAAAAATAAAAATAAATAAATAATTAAAATAAAGAGTTTTACCAGTGCTAAATATGTTCACAGAATATTATGGTTCTTGCATGACAAACCAGTGTTCCTTCTCTAAAACATAATCATATTTTTTAAATGACACAACCATAGCGTTGCCTCATGGCTTCCAAACACACATCTACCCTCAATTAAAAAGTAGAAATTCCACATTAGTCTGTGCTATGTCACTTAAAATAGAAGTATACCACTTCTTTTTATTTTCTAAAGCTTCTTCAATCACTTTGTCTAAATGGTTCAGGGACAACGTCACAGGTAGCCCACTATTGTGTTAGCCTCTACTGACACCTCCTAGGCACGAACAATCAGAACATTCAATAACTACTTGATTGACTGACTGATTAAGATCACAGATAACAGTTAAAGCATTCCTTATGAGACTATTTGTGAGAAAAGCTGCTCGCTATTTGAGTCAATGTAATGAAAATTCAGGAAGGGGGCTCTGCACTCAATGACAATGACACTTAACTCCACTAGGGAAGGAAAATATGTAGCCAAGTAAGTGCACTGAGGTTTTATGGAAGAGGTGAATATGTGCATGGAGCGGGGGGAGGGAGAGAGCCCAATTCTATCTGTTGTGGGGAAAGGGGTTATCTGGGAAAGCTTCTTAGAAGAATGGGGATCAAGGATCGTGTATGAGGATTTATTTTCAAGATTTTAAATTGAGGAACAAATCAATCTTAAACAAAACCATAAAGAAATTTTAACAGAAAATCTAACCTAACCATTACAGATTGATATTTCAAAAACAGATCGCAAGGTGCCAGCCCAGTTGCATAGTGGTTAAGTGCACGCACTCCGCTTCAGCGCCCCGGAGTTCACAGGTTCAGATCCCTGGTGCAGACCTATGCACCGCTCATCAAGCCATGCTGTGGCGGCATCCCATATACAAAACAGAGGAAGATGGGCACAGATGTTAGCTCAGGGCTAATCTTCCTCAGCAAAAAGAAGAAGATTGGCAATGGATGTTAGCCCAGGGCTGATCTTCCTTGCCAAAAAAAAAAAAACCAGGTCCCATGAGATCAACTTTTCAGAGAAACACACAGGTTCTTAAGATAACTACATATTTTGAGTAAATGTATGCTAAAATGTATACTCCTGTTCACTGTTCCTAAATAAGTATGTATTTCTGCTTTGTGCACTGTTCTTTCAATAATATTAAGGTGAATTCTATTCACTGAAAATAGTAACAGTGTGGGTCTAAGTATTCATATTAATTTTTTTAATTCCTATCATTTCAGCTGAATGTCTCAGTTTGGAAAAAGTGAATACAGAAATAAGAACTATAAATTTCAATAGTCACAAATTTCATAACTGTTTCTTATTGCTTGAAAAAACCTTTTTACCTGATTAAGGACCTTCTGCAGGTGTGGAGTCCCCATCCGATCAGCAATATGTCTGTACGCCGGGTGCGAGAGAAAAAATTTCCTTTCTGCCAACATGGCAGCTTTAATGTCCTTCTTCCCATCTATGTCCTTCTGGCTTCTGTTTACCACCCCCACGTAACCTGAAACAAAACACACACCTATGGAATTTGGGACACTTTTTGTCACTTATTCTAGAGAGATTTCAAGGCTCTCAAAGAGGCTAAATAAGAAAGGCAAAGTTATTTTAAGGCCTGAAGAATGGGTCCCTTTATAAAACACAATTTGAGACATCAGTATTTAACAAACACTGGCTGATTTGGCTAATGATAATTTTTAGCATTAACACAATAATGTCTTTTGCCCTTAAAAGCTCTGTGCATTTTAATAGAATATGTCTCTCAGCAGTTTTGTCATATAGTGGACAAGTAAATAAGTCAGACTTAAAACAGAACAGTATATATTTATGTAGCCTATGATGAATATTTTTACCCTCCCTTTAAACCCCTTCCTTTTCCTGTTTTCTTATTCCTTTATTTTAAGGAATAGTTGTCCCTCTGGATCATTTTTAATACATTATTTGGGAACATTGTGCCATTCCATAAAAGTATAACTAATCATAAATCCATTCCTCACAACTGTGGAGGCATTAAAACCAAGCCTCCCATTGGTTTCCCAACTGTTTCTCGCCCACATCATCCAAGGAAGTCCTGTACAGGACAAAGTACATTACCCCTGCGAAGAGGCAGCAGCTTGTTCTCCAGAACCTCCCTGGCATCCGTTCCTTCATCCATAAGATCCAGTTTGGTGATGACTCCAATGGTTCTTAGACCTGCATCACAAACAAACCCAACATCACACAATTTGCAGAAGACTAACGTATCTTAGAGACATGTGTGTCTCCACGCCAAAAGGACCATATATCCTGGTCCTTTTCCCATTCCTCTCTGTCTTACTCTGTTTTTTAATCCACTGCTATCCCAGTCTGGTGAATTTCAATGGGATGAGGTGGAGAGTTGCAAAATCACCCATCCATAAGATAACTTTCTATTCAAGAGAGAAAAAACAAATAGCTGTATCACCAAAATATTTTTAAATTTATGAGTTTATTTTTGTACCATGCATGCATGGAAATTATACATTTAAATCTTCCTCCCAGGTACTGCACACAATACGGATACTTTAAATTTTCTGTGTATTTCACTATTAAAAACAAACAAATAGGCTACACATGGGCCAAAGATGACAGCATGTCATAAACCAAGCTTATTATTGATCCAGCTCTGAGCACTTGAAGTCAAAAAAATTAAACAAAGAAAATTAGGTATAGGATAGTGTCATCACCAAAAATAAACTTGCACGTCTCACAGCATTCAGTGTTTCTTAGAAAAGGAAATGTGACTTAATGGAAAGAAGACTGAACTAGGAATTCTGAGGCTGAGATTCTAGTCTCAAGGCAAGTCACTTAACTCTCTGGGTCTCAGTTTTCCTCATCTGTGAAATAAAGAGTTGGAAACTATGATCTCCAAGGTTCCTTTCAGTAATACAATAATGTAAAAACCTAGACATTTTATGTAGCATATAAGATACAATGTATTTGTCCTCTGCTTCTGTCATTAGATAAAATGAACAATATTTGTCTAGTGATTCATATTTTTCAGTGCATTTCTTTGGACTTCCAATTAAACATGGTTAATGGAGCACAAGCCTTTATCTTTTACCTGAAACCACTCTAAAATAATAATGGCTAATATTTATTAAGCAAGCTATGGTTTTAAATGCTTTACATGTCTTAAATTATTTAATTCTAAAAAGTACTCCAACTACTATTTTTGTAAGATGAGGAAACTAAGGAAGAGAGATTAAATAACTTTCCCAAGGTCATACAGGAGGTTGGTCCAGGCAGTCTAGTTCCAGAGTCCTTGCTTTTAACCAATATACTGCTACTCACAGTAAAAAGAATTTAAAAAATAAAAAAGGCTTAAAACCAAGAAGGTCAAAGACAATGGGAGAGGACTGCAGAAAAATTTTGAAACTGGAAATCAAGCAGGACGACTGCTAACTAACTTAACAGACCAAAGAAAGAGGAAACTGCTTCCAAGAAAGCCAACAATAGGAGAAGCCCAGAAGCTGGATAATTTCTAGCACAGCATCCTAGAAATGTTCAAGACGTGGGGGACAAATAGCTCTGAAAATAATGGAGAGTGGTGTGGTAGGTGAAGCTGAAAATAGAAGCACTGGATGCAGGCAGTCATATTTCCATGGATAACATAGCTAGGAGCTTCCCTGGTCCATCCCGGCAGGAGAGTACAGGTTTACTTTCTGGAAAGATTGAACTAGAGAAAACTCTGAACTCATGGGCACCTGGCCCAGTTTTGGGGGATCAAGTATTAAAAGAGGATGATTCTCTAATACGAGACCAAAACAAGTAAATATTATAAAATAGAACTTGGAGAAAACAAAGATAATGCAAAACAGAGAAGAAAACTGCATTATTTTTATTAGTATCCTCAGAGAGAAAGGAGAGATCATTGCATTCATGGAACAAAAACAGAATGTCACAAAAGGAAACATTCAAACAAACAAACAAAAAGAATTCTCAATAATTAAAAATATGAGAGCAGAGATAAAAATGTTAGTAGAATGGCCGGAATACAAAGTTAGGAACCCTTCCAGAAAACAAAAGAAAAAGAAGTAAATAATAGGAAAGGAAAAACTTTTTTAAAACTAGAGAAGTCATCCAGAAGATCCAATATCTGAATAATTGGCATTCCAAAAAGAGAGAGAAGATCAAAAAGAAATAGTTGGGGAGTGAGGGCATACTATTCAAGAAAACGTCCTATAAGTGAAAGATGAATTTATGGATTGAATGAACCCATCAAGTGCCTAACACAACAGGAAAAACACACACACATACACACACTATGGCATATCAGTATAAGATTTCAAAATACTGGGAACAAATAAAATATCCTAAAAAGCTCCCAGAAAAGTTAAAAAATAAAGTCATAAAAAAAGCTTTGGGAATCATTACAGCATCAGTCTGCCCAGCTGCAAACTGGAAACTAAAAACCAATAGAGCAATGTTTTCTAAATTCTGAGGGAAAAATAATTTCTCTCCTAGAATTCTAAACTCGCAGTAAATATGACAGCAGAAAAAGATATACTCAGTCAGACCTGCACAATCTCAAAATATTTTACCTTCCTCTCTTTTTTTTTTTTTTTTTGGAAACTACTAAAGGATGTGTTCCACCAAATGCAGAAGAAAACTAACAAAGACGACGACAGGAGATCCAGGAAGCAGGGAATTCACCATAACCAAGAAAAGAAGGGAATTTTCAGGATGATATAGATCCCAGTTTGAGGCCAGGCGAGCAATGAATATCTATTGGAATGAGGGGACACAGATTCCCAAAGAGATGTCTTCCCCCACCAAGAAAAGAAAATGAAAATGATAGAATACCTAATGCCTAATATTTTTGAAGGTACTAAGAGATTTAGACATCTGTAGGAGAGGTTGGGAAGGCATTAGTGATAGATACATAGAAGACTATCCAAACAAACAAAAAGAGAGACAACTGTCAACCTCAAAGAAGACAGTATTAGGCCAGAAAGAAAATGTAACCATAATTTACCACATGGCTCAGCTGTGAATCATATTTTCAGAATCATAAATATTCATTTAGCAAAATATGAGGGTATAATTATATTAGTAGAATGGGGGGCTAAGTGTATATATGTATGTGTAAGTATATGTGGGTATGGGAGAGGGAATATAAGCCAGCTAAATCCTTCTCCTTCACAGTAGGAAGTCAAAAGAGAATATCTAAAAATAAAAAATCAAGACAGATTATATAGAAATATGGAGGTAAATACCAAAAGAAAGCTAAAAGAGTTGAAAGTGGTAGCCTCTGGAAAGCAGTAATCAAGAGTCGGGAGGAGCGGGCAAGGGACTGAGTTTTTATTAAAAGCCTTTAGGACTGATTTTTTCTTAAAGCTATGTACCTTTATAACATTAATAAAAATAAAAGTTGAATTTTAGAAGTATCTTCTTTACTATTCCCTTATTTCTGAAAAGGCAGAGGAGTCTATGCCTAGTGGTGTACCAGAAATGGCAAAGGAAATAATTTTCTTTTTCACATTTAGTTACACAAATAGGCAGGTTAAAATAATCAATGAAGTCCTGCTGGCTGACTCGAGATCTACACTGATAGAGCTCAAAAAGCCATTGCCAAAGAACAGATTCAAAGACAGCATGTTTTAAAAGCACTCCACTGGGAATCTAAAGACTCAGCTAAAAATAATAACAAGAGACCATTTATTGAGTCTGATTATGTGCCAGCCTCATCTAGGACTCAAACAACAACTCTATGACATAGGTACTATTATTTTCTCAATTACACAGATGAGGAAAGTGCGACTTGGAGAGGAAAAATACACTTTCCTAAAGGCTCACAGCCTGTAGGGTGTGGAATCCAAGCAACCTAATTCCATTTTTAATCACTATATTTTTCTGCCTCCTAATTCTTAGCTAGATTCTACAAGTGATGAGCTGTGTTATTTGGCAAGTTAGTTACATCATCTGGACCTGTTTGTAGAACTAAAAGTTTAACTAGATGTCTCTTTCAAGTCGAGATTTCTGGGAAGAAGAACAACTTCCAGATTTAGAAGAGTTTATGTACAATAAGAAGTAAAGAGTAATTTAATAAAATTCTTGCCCTTCAACTAAAAGGAAAATAAAAATAATAAATTAAGAGCTAACAAATAATGTCTGATATTGTGTTTCAATCAAGTTTCTCTTCAGTAAAGAATAGCCACAGTGAGGAGTGCGGACAAGTTCTGATGAAGACCTTGAAAAGACACAAAAGGCATTTCAAAAATCTGATTCTTAGATAGAATAGAGGCTAAGAGCACTGACTCAAGGATCAGGCTGTTTGGGTTCAAGTCCCACCATGCCCCTTATTAGCTCCAAGACATTCGCAAGCACTGCTTGTCAAGCCATGCTGTGGCAGCGCCCCATGTAAAAATAAAAGTGGAGGAAGATGGGCACGGATGTTAGCCCAGGGCCACTGTTGCTCAGCAAAAAGAGGAGGATTGGCAGATGTTAGCTCAGGGCTGATCTTCCTCACAAAAAAAAAAAAAAAAAAAAGACATTCATTTCCGCCTCAGGTGTAACCACATCAATAGAGTAACCAAACATCACAGTTTACATTTGATGGCTGGGATAATTATCAGTAACATTCCCTTTAACTCTCAAAAGACTCCCTGTTTGAAGAACAAGTTATATGTTCACTCTAACTTATCATAAAATGAGGAAAATAACAAACCTATGTTTTAATATTAAAAACAGAACTTTTGGCTTCCAGTCCAGCAAGTAAGGAGCTTGGAAGCTGCCACTGTGTCCTAACAACAAGTAAAAAGCTGAACAAACTGAAAAATCAACAACCCTTCTTAGATTCATCAGAGAAGTGAGGTCACAGGGCAAACCATTGCCCCCAAAATTTGGAGAGACAGACATGTGAATATAGCGAATCACAACCCACAAGCAGAAAACTCCACGGGAACCAGCGTCTGTTGGTTTAGTTTAGGAAAACCTAAACTGTAATTGAGGAACTGCTGGAAGCTCAGTGTGGATGGTCTGAGAGTTAAAAACTCCAGAGGAACTCAGTCATAGAGGGTATCCATACTTTTGTGAGTTTTGCCTCCAGGAGCTTGACCAGGTTCTCACAGCGAATATTTGAGAAAAATCCCCTCATGCTTCCAGCAGGGGGAAAAAACAAACAACCTGATTAAAACATGGGTGAAAGACCTGAACAGACACCTCACCAAAGA